TCTTCCGCCCCTTGACCCAGCACTGCTTACTGCAGCTGTAGACAGGTGCGAGTGCCTTCATTATACGTAAACATTCTTATAACAAATTTGAGGTAATTAACAATCGTTCTATTCTTATAACAGGTGGAGGCCTGAGACCCACACGTTCCACCTACCTTGCGGCGAGATGACCATGACCATGCAAGACGTGAAGGCTATCTTTGGCCTTCGGTTGGGGAGACTTCTAGTGACAGGTATAGTTGACAACGATCACTGGAGGGAGCTGGTGGCTCAGTTCACTGGCTTTCTTCCACCGGACGATGAGGTTTCCAAGAAAAATAAGTGAGCAATTGAAGCTTATTTAATACTTGCATTGCTTTCCTGCAGCCATTGGGTCTCATTTTCATCATCGTGGATCATAGAGCGCTTTGATTACTTGGACCCATAGGCTGATGAGGCTCAGATCGACAAGTTCGCTAGAGTGTGGCTCCAGCACTTCCTTGGTGCTTTCCTATTCCTAGACGCCTCGAGCAACACCATCAGCTGGATCTTTCTTGACATACTATGCCAGCCGTGGGATAACATAGCGGCGTATAGCTGGGGCAGCGTAGTCCTGGCATGGACGTATCGACAGCTATGCGTTTTCTATCGTTGCACCTCAGGGTATGCGAACCGTGGGGGTTGCTCCTACCTACTCCAGGTTTGGTGTTGGGAATGATGGCCCGTTGGGAGGCCTCTTGTTACTGGTTTACCGGTAAGTACTTCGGTTCACTATATTCTTTGAGGCAGTTACATATGATGAAATTATTAATGGCTAATTCATTATCGTGTTCAATGCAGCATTGGAACGGACAGGATACACTCCCTATAGCTCTATATATCTAGACCTAAGTAGAGTTAGTTAGAGGGAATGCGATGTGCAAGTACAGGGAGTACATGGACTGTCTCGACATCCTAACACAACACCAAGTTATGCTCTCTTTACTATCACACATGTGTCTTGTTCGATGTACACTATATCACAACCTAACTCAATTACAAAATATTTAGGTTCATTGGTGTCCTTGGGATGCTTCGGAGCTCCAGTACTATCTGAGTCCTGTCACTAGGGATGAGTTAGACGAGTATCGCTGCAACGACCCTCTTATTTTCTTCCACGTGGTCGAGATTTACTTGTCCATTAGGGTTTGCAGGCAGTTTGGAAGAATGACAGGCTACCCATCACCGCTTTACTCTACCAACCAAGAATTGCATGAGTTCGTTATCGATTAATACAAAGCTACAATTTATAGGTGTGTATGATACAACTAACAATCATTTTGTTGCAGGTATGACCACAGGAAGAGGTACAAGACCAAGGATTGGCGCGTGACACACAACGCGTACATCCAGTTGTGGTAGACCAGGGACCGGCAACCGGTCAATGCGGGTCCCCCACACGACCAGCACACCTTCGACGAGTACCTACTGTGGCTTCATAGGTCTATAAGGACACATATCAAGCTCCCGTACACAGAGGATGCGATTGGCGAGGACGATGAGGAAGATGTGATCAAAGATGTGTACGACGTTGTCAGTAGGGATGACACACAACTACAGAGAGCCCCGCTTCAAAGATACATGGTAAGATACTCGAATGGTACAATTTGTTATCCATTTGGTAATAAGTATGTATACTAAAACTGTCCAACCATATTTCTATACCTAGGTGACACAATTGTCAAGGTTGTCCAATGAAGTAGCGTTTCGGCTTCACGAATCTAGAGGACAGGGGTCAGGCGTTCTCGAGGCTTTTGTGGAGGTAAACATAAACTTGTTCGTTCCGAAAATGTTTCTTTAGTGTATATGCATTTGAGAAATGCACTAACTTTAACGTCTATTTATGCAGAAGGTGAAGAAGAGCTGCAGGAAGCTAGCTCAGAAGCTGAGCTGCATGGACACTCCTTGGGTGGAACCCTATTACCCGACGCGGTCGGGTGGCATGTCTTCTGGCTCTTTGAGGACACCAGCCGGCTCTTCTCAGCCAGTGACAGGTGCCGCTTCTGCAGTGCGTACACCACCACATCATAGCGCTGGGAAGGACCCTGCAAACGAGGACGTCAATGACGATGACCCCCCGGGCTTCTGCATACAACACCACTAGTGGGACGATTGGCAGCAAGACGAGATTAGCATGTCTCAGCTAGGTGGTGCCCCGCTTGGTACCCAAGGAGCCTCACAGGTAGTAACAAAGGTAGTTTCTTTAAATACGTAGGCTCCATGAACTAACGATCATACAAATTATAAGTAATCGTGCATATCATATACTTGTAGAGTATGAGCCGTACGCACCGGCAACGCGACCACACCGACGTTGGCTACACTCTGAATGTGTTGCCTACAAATCCAAAGAGACAGAGGCGTCCAAGGGATCCTTACACTCCTAGGACTTAGTTGGTTATGCCGAACAAATGTTATGTGGCAACTTGTCAACTTGCGCATGGACTCCATTTATTTGCTTCATATTGGTTTTAAGGCGTCGCGGCAGCATTGCCGGTGAGATTAACTAGCAACAGTGTTCGGGAACCGGTAGTCTCGGCGTATCTCGCAGCCGGTGGCCGGCGCCTTGACCCTGATCCTCCCGAGCTTGGTCATCGCCGCCACAAAATCGCCAAAGAAGGCACCTTGGTTGGACGCGTAGTAGTTGACCATGCTGCGTGACCTCATGTCGGAGTAGAGCACCTGGTCGGAGCCCAGGAGGCCCTTACCGACCTGCAGGTTCTGGTAGAAGGCGTTGTCGAAGCCCACCGGCGAGGGGTCAAGGAAGACGAAGGCGTTGGGGTCGGAGCTGCAGGTGCCGTTCAGCTGTGAAGCAAAGCCGAGGTCCATGGTCGCGTCGCTGCCGATCCTCACCGACAACAGCTCCCATTCAATTGCAATTGAGGCTGGTCTTCTGTCTGTGTCTAGGTCCTGCCGCGCCGTGGGCCTTGGCGCGTCAGTGCCGCGCCATGGTCTATGGCGCGGTAGACCCTGCCACATCATCGGTCAGCGCCCCGGTCATCGCCACATCATCCTCCCACCGTGCCACCATGCATGGCGTGACACAGGCGTTTCGCCTTGCCATGGCAATAGGCGCGGCCAAAAGTGTTAGTTTTAAAAAACAAAATTTAAACAGTGTTAGATTTAAAATTAGTTTAAAAACATGTTGAAAATAAATAAAAAAATCGACAGGGCAACCCTCCGTTCCCTCACTATAAAGTCCACCTCCGGCCCCCTCAGATTTCATCAACCCGATCTCCCTCAATCCCAATCACGAAGTCACACCGCGCCGCCGTGAAAGCGAACTAAGCAAGGCTCCCGATCTTCTCGTCAAGGTATGCGCCCCCCCCCCTGTCCGATTCATCCCCCTAATCTCTCGGTCTATGATGCGGTCATGTATGTATGGCTATGGGGGTATGGCCTCGGTATCCACAAGACAAGACATGGACCGCACCATCAGAGGTGGCCCAGCCCACAAGATCAAGGCATGCACGGCGCTGCTCGGCGTGCACCGCAAGATATTGTATAGTACCAAATAGGCTACTTTCCTTGTAACCCTACCCCTCCAGAGTATATAAGGAGAGGCAGGGGTCCCCTAGTGGACACGATCGATACATCTCAATGTAATACATCAAAACACAGGATGTAGGTATTACGTCATACTGATGGCCGAACCTGTCTAAATCTTGTGTCTTGGTGCTTGTATTACCATCTCGCTCCTGATCTCGCTCACCTCTACGACAAATATACCATCGTGGGATACCCCTCGGTGGACTATCGAGCATCTTTTGTCGACAGTTGGCGCGCCAGGTAGGGGTGTGCGCTTGATCCATGGCGAGCCAGATGGACCTCGGTGCTCGAACATCGCCAATGGCGCCGGGGACTCCTCGTTCCTCGGTGCTCGGACATCGCCAGCGATGCCGGGGACTCCTCGCTCTTCGGTGCTCGGACATCGCTAGCGACGCCAGGGACTCCTCGCTCCTCAATGCTTGGACATCACTAGCGACGACGGGGACTCCTCGCTCTTCGGTGCTCGAACATCGCCAGCGATGCCGGGGACTCCTTGCTCCTCGGTGCTCGGACATCGCCAGCGACGCCGGGGACTCCTCGCTCTTTGGTGCTCGGACATCGCCAGCGACGCCGGGGACTCCCTTGCTTCTTGGATCTTGCTACATCTCGTCGGTGTGCTATCAAGCTGCTCCATGCTGTTCAGATTAGGGTGCTGATCTTGGGCAGCACGTCTGGGGTCTTGATACGCGCATGTCAGACGACGTCAGCAAGCTTTCAGACTTCTTTTTCTTTGACCCTGCTACAAGATTTATTCTTCATCTTCTAGCAGGCTCGGGGACTAAGTGGGCACACTTCACCTTGCGGTGAATGTGCGCTTTTCTCATCTCGAGGCTACGCCCGGGGACTGGCTGCCTGCTCGGCTGGTCTTTTACTTTCTGACCCTGGCACCACGTGAGTACGTCACCTACTGTCAGGCTCGGGGACTAGCTGTGGGGGTATGGCCCCCGGTATCCATAAGGCAAGACATAGGCCACACCATCAGAGGTGGCCCAGCCCACAAGATCAAGGCGTGCACGGCGCTGCTCGGCATGCACCGCAAGATATTGTATAGTACCAAATAGGCTACTTTTCTTGTAACCCTACCCCTCCAGAGTATATAAGGAGAGGCAGGGGTCCCCTAGTGGACATGATCAATACATCAGAACACAGGATGTAGGTATTACGTCATACTGACGGCCGAACCTGTCTAAATCTTGTGTCTTGGTGCTTGTATTACCATCTTGCTCCTGATCTCGCTCACCTCTACGACAAATCTACCATCATGGGATAGCCCTCAGTGGACTGCCGAGCATCTATTGTCGACAATGGCCAAATCTCTATTGCGCCTTCCATACGAAGATCCTTATAAATTGCTCGCATGGTCTGCGATGTTCGATCGAGTTAATTCTTTCATGCTGAGTTCGGTTTTGGGCTTATTGCTGTGCTTATAGGCCATGGTGTTTCTGTTCTAGAATGGAATTTTGTAGATATCATAGAGTTAGGGTTCCATTCAAGAGATTCATTAGAGTATTATATCAAAATTAAGAGGGATCATTTCTATCATGATGCCTCGAGTGCCTCGAACGTAATCCTGATTAATTGGTGTATCATCTAAATTATGGCTAAATTATTACTATAGTGTTACCTCGGAAGTCAGAACGATGTCCTATATATGTCAATCAGGTTTCACTTCGATAGATTAATTAGTGTATTATCAATCAAAAAGTCAAGAAGTTCAAAGTTCAAACCATGCCTACCATAGTGTCCTGCTGCCCCTAACACAATCCTGTAGGTATGGTTTGGTTTAATTTCAATCTGTTGATTAGCTTATGCTCAAAATTAAGATGGTTTTTGCTTAAAAAGTTTAAGATCTTTATTACTTCAAAGAAATCAAGATGAATCTTGCCTTGAATCTTCCCTGCCTATTTTACCTTAGATCAATCCGTTTCTGATCACCTTAATCAAAAGGATATGTATAAGTTTTGGAAGTACTGCTAAACTTATTTCTTGTCGATACACTTGCCACTTTTTATGATTATAAATGTTCAATCCTGTCTCTATATTTTCTACTTGTGTATGTTGAGTTGTTATCATTAGAAATGTAACTAGCACATTGGCAGTTGGTATGCATGAGGTGTTATTTGTTCTAATTCTCATGGTTCATCTATATAATCTATATGTTTGTGTATTTTGTTTGTTGGTACCTCTGTTTCATAGTTGAGATTTGAATCATTCTTTTCTAAGCACTAGGTTTTCCTGTGCAAATCTCTTTATGGTAGCTTTACCATGTGATATTTGTCTCTGCAGATGCAGATCTTTGTGAAGACCCTCACTGGCAAGACCATCACCCTCGAGGTTGAGTCCTCGGACACAATTGACAATGTCAAGGCAAAGATCCAGAACAAGGAGGGAATCCCATCGGATCAGCAGCGCCTGATCTTTGCAGGCAAGCAGCTCGAGGATGGGCGGACACTCGCTGACTATAACATCCAGAAGGAGTCCACCCTCCACCTTGTGCTCAGGCTCACGGGTGGGATGCAGATCTTTGTGAAGACCCTGACTAGAAAGACCATCACACTGGAGGTCGAGTCCTCAGACATTTGACAATGTGAAGGCCAAGATTCAAGACAAGGAGGGCATTCCCCCAGACCAGCAGTGCCTCATCTTTGTCGGGAAGCAGCTCGAGGATGGCCGCACCTTGGCTGACTACAACATTCAAAAAGAGTCCACCCTTCACCTTGTGCTCAGGCTAAGGGGAGGCATGCAGATCTTTGTCAAGACTCTGACTAGGAAGACCATCACACTTGAAGTTGAGTCTTCTGATACGATCGATAACGTAAAGGCAAAAATTCAAGACGAGGGCAGACCAGCAGCGCGTCATCTTTGCTGGAAAGCAACTTGAGGATGGCCGCACTCTTGCTGACTACAACATTCAGAAGGAGTCCACCCTCCACTTGGTGCTCTGCCTCCGTGGTGGTATGTAGATTTTTGTGAAGACACTGACTGGCAAGACCATCACCCTAGAGGTCAAGTCTTCTGACACGATCGACAATGTGAAGGCAAAGATCCAGGATAAGGAGGGCATCCCACCGGACCAGTAGCGCCTAATATTTGCTAGTAAGCAGCTTGAGGACGGCCGCACCCTGGCGGACTACAACATCCAGAAGGAGTCTACGTTCCACCTGGTTCTGCGCCTCCATGGTGAGGCAGTAAGGGTCTGGGCAGGTTCGGGTACTGAGTTCAGTTTGTCATGTCCAATGTGAGGTTGAGTCGCTTGTGTTCAAGTTTCTGCTATGATCAAGTCCCATAGCATTCCAGAAAACATATGCTGCCTTGCTGTAATGAATAAGTAAACATGGTTTTATTTTGGGGTACGTAATTTGTTTATGTCATTTTGTGTTTTATATCTGATCTGCTGATCAAACTATGTTCATGGATTGTGTGTGTGTGTGTATGCTAAGTGACAAAGGTTAACACCAGAAATATGACCTTCAGGATCTGAAATGGACACAAGAGTTCCACTTAGATGAATACTCTGTTTGAAATTAGTACCAATGCACAGCCATGTTTATGTAATATATTGGTTGATGAGTAAGCCAACAGATTGTTTGAGAAACTATGGACGCACATCTGTATCTGAATCTCAGTGCAACTATATACATGTAAAGAAAAAAGTCTCCTTCAATGAGTAGTATACTTAGGCTGATTTCCTGTATTCGCTCTATGTTTCTGAACTTAATATGTTATATGATTGTCTAAATCCTAGTCCTCACGTCCTACCTTGGAACAATTCCAGCTTCTCAAGATTATACAAATTAGTGAACCATTCTATACACTTTCATTTACTAATTCTTTATCGTAGGAGGGCATTACTAAACCCTTACACTTCCAATGATATATTAGGCTAGCCCCTTACTATGGTGTATGGAAGCAGACCGTATCGAGATGATATATGGAACTAAACTATCATTATTATTTAAGCATTTCTTAGGATGCATTCCAAGATCCTATTCGCTATCCATCAGATAGAGGACAGTCGAGGAAGAAGACACTGGTTGCTCTGCTCTAGTTAATAGGATAACCCTTCTTGTCTTGTATAGGGGAAGGATCCGCTGACTAATTACTAGGTGGTGGGCCTATAAAGCAAACTAAGAGCGGGGAAGCTCCATCGATTCTCAAAGATCTGGTTGATATTGGCATTGGCCAACAACGAATATTATTGTTTCCGTCCTTGACTTCGGACTAGGATTGTTCCTTCTTTCCAAAACCTCCATCCTGTTTGCTTTATCATGCTGCTTCTTTTGCTTATCCTTACTTTCGGTCAATAAGCTGATCAAGTGTCTTCATTCAAGCGAGGGTACAGAGGAAGAACGAAACGAAGTGAGAGGCCGGGGGGTAGGGAAAAGAGTCGAGTCGATCAACTAGGAGAAGCAAAATGAAATCAGCATTTGGCCAAAAAAGATGCAACGTTATGGATACCATGACCGATCACCATCGAGAAAGAAGAATTTTTATAAATCACTTCGGTGAGCGGGGCCTTCAAGCATCCAAAATACGCCGGGGTTGTAAATGACATACCCTTCCTCGAGAAAATGATGACTCCTTCATAAAAACAAAGTTATTCAAGTTCTTTTTTTACCAAAGAAGTCCCGCTCTGACGGCCCGATGAGTCATCTACTAAAAATCCATGCCCTCATTCCTAAACAACCGAACAAGCCGTTATGGGTTTTCCTTTTCGATATTGATACTATGCGGGTCGTCCGTCCCATCTGGATGGACCCGCACAAGAACGACTCGAGCGGCCGTGACCCCTCACTCCCATCCAACCCGTGACCCCCAGCGGACGGGAACTAACGCACCCGCTCGCTCTCCCCCACCCTCTCGCACGCACTCGTTCTCCTCCTCCTCCCCACAGCCATTCACTCTCGCTCGCCCGAGCCGCTCTGCGGCCACGCACCAGGATGGTATGCTGCACCCACGTGCGAGCTCGCTGCCACCACCACCTGGCCGTGCTCCCTCCCTCCATCCATCCCTCCCTCACCCATGACCTCCATGCCACCCCTTGCTCCCCAGCGACCTCGCTCCCGCTCCCCCCATAGGAGACGAGGACGACGGCGGCGGCGGCTCCGACGAGGTAGATCGTTCCTCCTCTAGATCTGAGCCCTCCTCCTCCTCCTCTGGATCTGAGCTCTCCTCCTCCTCCTCCTGCTGCTCTGGATCTAGATCTGGATCTGAGGGACGCGGCGGTGGCTAGGGTTCCGACGAGCTCTGTTCAGTAGCCTTGTTTGCTGTTGCAAGAAGCAATATTTCTTTGTTGTATTAGTCTCTTTTTTCTGATGTTGCATCTCGCATTTGTGCTTTGTTTTTTGTTGTTGCAGTAGCCTTGTTTTGCTGTTGCAACAAGTAATATTTTTTTGTTGCATTAGTCTCTTTTTTTCGATGTTGCATCTCGCATTGCGCTTTGTGTCTATTGTTGCAATAGCCTTATTTTGCTGTTGCAACAAGTAATTTTTCTTTGTTGCATTAGTCTTTTTTTCTGATGTTGCTTTCTCACATTGTGCTTTGTTTTGTTTGTTGCAGCAGCCTGTTCTAGTGTTGCAACAAGTAATATTTCTTTGTTGCATTAGTTTCTTTTTTCTGATCTTGTATCTCGCATTGCAGTAGCTTTATTGCTGTCATTTTATTCTAATGTTGCAGTAGACTTGTTCTGATGTTGCAAACAAGTAATACTTCTGATGGGAGCTCGATGAGGATGCGACACACCTAGTGGGGCGCGGCCGGGGGATGGGCGGTGCGATGGGATGGCGGGGGACATGTGGTGCGGCGGGATGGTGGGATGATGGTGCGGCGGGAGGTCGGGCCACGCGCGGGCATGGGATGGGGCGTCGCGACTGGCGAGTGATGCCCGAGTCGGACGGACCTGAGGCGCTTGGTGCTTCATTGTTTTGGTTAGGATCGAAATGAGTCGTCTGTTACTGTTCTTGTCGGTGCATAAAGTGACCAGCATGTAAATATTTGTAGTTTTGTCGTACGTTGTGATCGGAGGTGGCCTAGCACTCAATGACATAGGGTTTATACTGGTTTAGGCAACATGCCCTATGTCCAGTTTGAGTCGGTCGGTGACTTTATTCCTGAGCCCAGGTGCTCGAAGTTTGCAGTGGGGTTACAAACGAGAAGGAGAAAGATGGGGGTAGAAGAGGTCCGGTTGGACTCTGGTCAGAGGAGCCGAGAGTGATGGGAGCCCCCCTATGTGCTAAATGTTTGAGCATGTGCTCATGGTTTGAACCTGGGGGTTCTGTTGTTGTGGACTAGTGAACTGATCAATCGAATGAATCTGTTGGGAGAGTGCATCCCCTTTTATAGATGAAGGGGATGGCCTTACAAGTGAGAGGGAGAGAGTACATATGCTATTAAGCCTTGTTGCCCACGCTGGTGGGTACAGGATCATGGTAGGTGCCCATAATACTATTTTATGTCAGATGCACGTGGGAGGTCGTGTTGTCTTCTTTGGGTATGACAGACGTCGGTGCCTACCACACTGTTGATACCCGGAGGCGTGGAAGGGGTTTTACCATGTTTGCTAGGTATGGTAAATGCCGGCGCCCACAACACTGTCGATGCCCAAAGGCATGTGGGGGAGCCTTACCGTATGGGAGTTAATGGCGCCCACAATACTGTAGGGGAAAATGTCGGCGCCTACAACACTACTTGTGTTCTGTTGTGCCAGGGAGGTCGCAGAGTACTGTTACTATAGGTGTACAGGGTACGGTCCCCGATATTACGGCTTGACTTGTGCGCCCTGCTTTTACTTTCTCCGTCTGTTTCCTGGTCCTTACCGAGCGGGCATCCCCGGTCGATTGGTCCCAGTCGGCTCTGATCGCACCAGTCAAAGAAGAGCAGTGAGCAGGGGTTTGGCGCATCTCCGGTCGGAGACACGGTTGGAGTTAGAAGCGGTGTTTGGCTAGGCCTTTCGGTTAGAGAGGCTGTCTGGAGGTGGGCTAGAGACCGAAGTGAGCGCTTCGGTCAGAGAGGCGGGCCAGAGTTGGAAGCGGGTGCCATTCCTCCTCGGCCAGGCCTTCCGGTCGGAGATTGGATTGCCCCTCTGGCCTGTCGTTTAGGTACTTGGCTAGCCCATGAGTTGCGCGTTGTTTGCTTGGCCCGAGCCTTTGTTGGAAGCCGGTCCGCGAGGGACCCTAGGTTTACGAACCCGACAGGATCCCCCGAGCGCTGGGAGATTTGGGTAGAATCGTCTAGGGGATTTTTGTCTTGACGGTGGGTGCATGCGAGCGCACCCGCGGGTGTAGCCCCCGAGCCCCCGGGCGATTCGGGCGGAATCATCTGGGGGTTTTTTCATGTTGCCAGCGGGGGAGGTTTTCGTTTCGTCAGCGGGTGCGTGCGAGCGCACCCGTGGGTGTAGCCCCCGAGCCCTCGGATGGTTCGACAGAATCATCTGGGGGGGTTTTTTCAGTGGGCGTGTGTGTGTTTCTTAGTCGAGACGGAGTCGTCTACCAAGGCATTGGTGCGCGCCATGGGATCGGGCGAGTTGGAGTCGTGGATCCTGGCGTCGGTGTGCGCCGTGGGATCGAGCGAGTTGGAGTCGTGGATCCTAGAGTCGGTGCGCACCGTGGGATCGAGGTAGTTAGTTTAGGGATCGACGAGACGGAGCTCGCAGATCCTGACGTTAGTGCACGCCATGGGATAGGGTGAGTCGAGTCGTGGACCCTGGCGTCAGTGCAACCCACGCAGCCGAGGTAGTTAGTTTTAGGGATCGGGCAAGATGGAGCTCGCGGATCCTGATAGGGCGAGTTTGGGGTCGTAGACCCAGGTGTTTGTGTGTAGTTGAAGCGTAGCCGAGAGATGGGGCGAGTTCAGGGTCCCAGACCCAGGCATTTGGTGCGTAGTCGAGGCGTAGCCGAGGGATGGGGTGAGTTCGGGGTCGCAGACCTAGGTGTTGGTGTGCAGTCAAAGCATAGCCGAGGGATGGGGCGAGTTCAGGGTCGTAGACCCAGGTGTTTTGGGTGTCTTGAGCCCCCGAGCCCCGTTGGGCTTTGGTAGGGGTCGGTTTGGGTTGTGTGCGTTACCCCGTCCTCTGTTTCTCACA